GAGTGTTCCTTGGCTAATAATTTAATATCAACATGAGTGGAGTGGAATAAAGAAAGTGTTTAGCAGGATTGATATTCAAAAGGGTAAGCACACGCTGCTTTGTTTATGGTATGTGTATCTTGCAGCCGGCAGTGTCGGTTTTCCTTTTTGAATGACGAATATAGACTAATATATTGGCAGAAATAGACAGTTGGCTCATACACGCAGGCGCAGAATGCACATTCTAGCTGACAGTCGCCTGTGGTTCTCTCGGTGTGTTCAAGTGCAGCTTTTTACCCCGACGAGAGGTGACAACACAGTCTGCTTTCATTTAATTAGTTCGTCGGCTTGGTGTGTTCCAGGCTTTAACATACAATGGAAGTCAATGTTGACTGAGGCGTCCCTAATGTTCATTTTAGGCGAATTGACCGTTAGTGTAAATTGCAGGTTCAATTTTTCAGAAAGATAATGCAACGTGCAAACTAATAAAAGATAAGAACCACCCACCATTGTTTTTGTTTGTTTGTTTTACACCAAAATGCTGCATAATATGAAAAGTTGGTACGTTTTACAGTGGTTTTAAGCACGCCCCCTCCCTTCCACTAGGCTGGGCATGACATCATAAAAGGGACTCCAAGCTTTTACTGTCTATGACTGGTCTATGGTCCAAGCAAGCCTAAAGTTACTGTTAGTCTAAACGGCAAGTAGGCTACCATTTATATTGGAGACCTAGCTAGCAAACTACAAAGTATTCTGTTTGTGCGCAATGTATGCGTCAAAAACGGGTGAGAGGCTCCATTATGTTTTAGTTGTTCTTGTTGCTTTTCTACAACAGATGAATGAAAAAGTATTAGTTTTTGTTTTATTAGTTAGATATTTCTAGATAGATATTCTAGTTTGAGGGAGTCCCGAGAATAGTTTTATTCTCCCTCAACCAGAACACACAGTGTAAGTGCATACCCGCCTGCGTATGACGTCATCACCTAGTTACTGTAAAAAATAAAAAAAACATGCTAGATTTGAAGAAACCCCAATAAATGTTATTTTAAGACAGACAATTTTTATTACATATTGAGCACTGTAATTTACACAATAAATGGTTGTGGTGGGTTAACCTGCAATTTACACTTTAATATTTCCCCTCAGGCTTGCAGAGGCTAACTACAAGACACCTAAAGCTGACAAAGTAAAAAAAAAAAAAAACCCCGTTGATAATCACACACAAATCTTAATTTAACCATTATAACGTTACTAATTTTTTTAAACATAACACCAACCAGAAAGCCAATGTGCCTTATGTTTTTCTCTTTCTACCACAACTGTGAATGTTTTGTTCAACTCACATGAGAGGGAATCGAAAATCCTCACAGAGAACAAATTGCAGGGTTTCCCCTTCGACGCAATAGCGCGAGGACACACCCAGAGAGGCGCGGTGGACGTTACCCAAGGGGGTGACGTCAGATGAGATGCATCGACTGATTACCTCTTTATCAATCAACTAGAGAGCCTCTTACGCTTTACATGAAATGTACCCGTTTATGTATGGCGAATAAAAATACCATATTAGCTAGTAGTGCGAAAAGTGCACATTTCAACCTTAAATGACTGCACTGACATCAATTACTGTGAAATGGTACAAACATGCGCAAATACATAATACAAAATCGTTAACGCTAAGGTTTACATGTCATGTGTTACTGGAATGCCAAAAAATATATTTTCACAGTTGAAGTAGGCCTAACGTAAAAACTGTAAACGATTCAATTTCTCGCCGAAAAGCTGTACAGAAATGAATACTTGCAACAGGCACCAAAAAAAAAAAAAAAAAAAAATTGTCTAGTGAACAAACACGGCGCGGCTCTGATGACCGTTTACAAGATGGAACATGCACGCGCACACCTGTAGACAGAACAATCAAAGTGAGTAAAATAAAACAGGTAAAAATAACAAACCTACCTCGGGCTGAAGGGTTGTCAAAAAGAGTGAAAGCCGCACATGGGACGTTCCTCCTCGTTCAGTGCATCGAGAAGCGAGCCCTGCTCCTCAAAAACAAGCCGTCTCCTCAAAACTCCCAAAGATTAAAGACGCAAAAGGTCTCTAAGTAAACACTTGAACGGATAGGCAATGTCTTTCGTCGCTTGCGAACCGTGTTTGTTTACTCTGCATCTGGGAACTAACTTTAGAATTGGTGCCAGTCAACCAGCAGAATGGAATTAGTCGCTTTTCCTACATGTAAAATGTGACCTCCGCGTTTAGGCTGAAACCATATAAACTTTTTATATCACGTCGTTGAAAAGTAAGAAAGCCCGTCTGCTCGAACCCAATCCAACAGCCTTTTCTCGTCCAGAGAAAAGAGGAAATAATCACAAGAGGGATTGAGGTATGTTCCGCTTTGGCTACGGAACGCAAACGCTAACGTTACAGATCCAAGTTTTGTTTGGTTATCTGCTCTATTTGTTGCCCCCCGTTTTACCGCCGGGAAAAGTGCGGATCAACGCAACCTTTCACCGCGCAACGAAAAAAGACAGTTTCAATCACTGGTTGCCGTGGCTGGAAATCGAAAGAGGGAGATAGAGATTCAGTCTGAGGGTTGGGAGAGCTGCGGCGGAGAGGGAGGGACTTGTTGTGTGTGGGATCAGTCATTTAAGGTGGATCACAAGGAAAATTGAAGTAAATGAACGGTCAGATCTTGGAACTCCCAACACATTGACTCGCTGGACAGGCGTAAATTTTAAATAGTACGTGGAACAGAAATATTTGGCGTCTGGCCAAAAGTAGGCTACAAATTTGTTGTAATTTGTAGAATTTGTAATTTGTTGACAATCAGAAGATGATTGTGATTTTCCAGACAGGAATTTTTATTTATTTTTATATTATTTTTTGAATGCAGTTTTGAATTATGAAAAAAAAGTGTGTGACTGACACTAGCCTACATAAAGAAACGTAAATAAATGTATAGTCTCCATAAACCCTTCAATGTGATTTTTAAAGCTGTTTAATGAAGGTGATAAGTTTCTACAGAAGGACTATGCTACAAGAACACATCTTACATCCGGAAGACATTTTTAAGAGTTTTTGCTCATCTGCAATACGTCTATTGGACGTTTCCTGTCAGATGTCAAATAGACATTTGTCTATGTCTTTAAGATGTAATGATTTAGAATGCATGTTAAACTGACATCTTCTAACGTTTTGACATCTGACAGAACGTCCTATAGACGTATTGAAAATGAGCAAACGCTCTTAAAAATATGTCTTCCAGATGTAAATATACAGTAGGCCTAACATCAAATAGGCTTGTGCTTTGGTTGTTCACTCCAGTCCATTAGATGGCGAAAATGCATCTTAAGCTGTTTTGTCATCCATTAAAAATGCAAATTGAGGACTAAAATTATGCCTTCATGTGCTATTAAAAATGCCCTACTTCCTGAAGTTGTGATTGCTTGTTGCATTCAAGTACTTTGTTGTCGGAAAGAACGGGATTCACGGAGGACACCAGATTTATTCTTGCCTATTTATTAAGAAAAAAAATGTATTACAGCCTAAATGATATTTAACATTCTATTCTTACCAAACATTCACCACACTATCTATATAGTCAGCTGACTGACAATTCAGGAATGTCGGTCAACTATACAGGCTATTTTCACTGTGTATAAAATCCACTTAAAATGATTATTCATTTACATTTGCACTACATTAATGACAATACGCTGATTTCACACAGCCGCCATTTTGTAATGGCTCCGGTGGGAAGAAAACTGGAAGTGTCACCTTAATCATAGGAGAGTCATGAATGCGATGGCGTATTTGTGTTTAATGTAGAAATTAGTCATTAAAAAAAATGTACATACATTTCTATCATACTTTAGACTATATACAGTGAAATTCATTTATAAACAAAATTATTATTATATATATAATTTAGAACGTAAAAAAGCAGGAACTATATCCTGTATATTGGATATTAACCTCCAATAGTGTAAATCGCGGCAGCATTTTAGCATGATACAAGAGAACCGTTGTCAAATAGGCCTACATAGTGGTTTACATTTTGTCCAGACATGTGATCTTATCAGTATTTTGGAACTAAGCTCATTCCGGCTTCCTCACATGATCAGTGGTCCTCAGTTGGTACATTACTGTTTAGTAGCCATGGTTACCTATAATTTGATCATTATTGCATACTCTTAAAGGGTGACTGCACCATGTCTTCTGAGATTTCATTGATGTTTTTATTGCCTGGACAGTTCTTTGACTGTTGCATCCATATAATAAGGGCTGAGGCCTTATGAGTTTCAACAATTATTGTGTGATTGCTACCGTTTAGTTTACATAAAAAGCTGTAATCCTTAGAAAAGGGAAACCTCTGCCTTTCTCAAATAAAAGTGCTATTGATGCTTAGCAGATAGGAAATGAAACATGCTAGATAGGGCGGAGCACATGTAATTTAGGGTACCTTTAGGTTACGTTTACCATTGTCAAAACGAACGACTTAAAACTGCTGCCATGTCATTAGATTACTGAGACGAAACAGTGACTGAACACGTAATATGCATGTACACAGAGACCATTTTTTAAAAACGTGCATTTTGAAACCCGTCTTCAAAAGTTTGTGTTTTCAAGCACCCAAAACGCTGTTATCGTGTAAACTAATGGCCAAAACGCATTAAAGATTTTACGTTTTTAGTTGTGTAAACAGTGTTGTGTAAACAGGCCTTTGGGCAATGTCCCATGCATGTCAGGTAGAAGTGTAGGACACAATGCTACCAACATGGATTAAAAAAAGTAAAATTGCCTGCTGATATCATTACTCCAAAAAAAAAATAGTCAACAAATTTCACCCTCTCAGCCCTGATGAAAACCAAAAGGTTGAAAAGTTGCATCGGTGCACGGACGTTTAGTTTTGATCATGTTATAAGATTAGGTTCCCAATGCTGATGATATTGCAACATCAGTTGTGTAACTGTGCAATCATCATTTATTTAGATGCACAACAAACTAAAACTGTGTCGTAATCCTCTTCTCATGCGTCTTGAGCCACCGCTTGAGTTCACAGGCCGAATAACGAGTTGCATAACTAATATCAGTGTTCTTTCAATGGCATCATTTTTAAATCACCTAAAATGATCTGGCTGCATTTGGTTTTCGGTTGACTGTTTACACTTTGCGTCCTTGCTGAAGGCCATTTAAATACCAGTATTTACACATGCAGGCTGTCAATAGATCTAAAGGACTAAGAGAGTTTAGACTCCCAAAATGCTCCTTCTTGGAGAGCAGAAACTTAACATGCATGGTGTGAAGCGAATGGGGAAGACATCCCAAAGGATACTGTGTGCCTCATTTGTACTCCTATAACTCAAGGATCTGACTGCAGAATGGCATATTTACATTTGATACAAGTGGTGTTGTGGCAGCAGTGCGGCAGAAGGCTGGAGAATGCAGCCGGCAGCCAATAATAAACCGTTGAAAGTCCTCCTACCAAACACACACAGAATGGATGATGATGAATGACTGCTACAGAGAAGCTGATTGTCAAAGATGTTGTTTAAAGTGACGAGTGCAATGCTTTCTTATGATGTATGGACCGTCACTGCTAATGGGCTGTAAGACGATTCATCTGAACCTTATGGTTCATCTCAGCTGTGCCACAAAAATAGTCTTGTCTCTTTTAGGTCTCATGAACCAGCACTGCAAGGTCAATTAAGTAAACAATTAAGACAAACAGTCCTCACTCTGTTATAGTAATGATATTCATCTCTGTAATGGAGTCTTTTAAACAGATCTCTCCAACAAACAGCCTGCTTTTGCTTGCGCTGTGTTGATTAGAGCTGTTCAAGAAACAACTTTGGAGATATTTAAGTAATGCAGATATAAAAATAAAACTATTGCATGCTTGTTTGTTGTGATATGCAGACGATATGGCAGGCAAGTCCGAGGGCAGAGGAGGCCGACGGCCTATCCAGAGACAAATAGTCAGGGTTGCTTTTCAAATGTTAATGTTGCGGAGCGACGGCAAATCAGTAAAGATAACGCATTAGGCTTTGATGGCTTTTCTCTCTTTTCATTTTTCTTTGTGTTAGAAAAAAAATCGCTCTTACATCCCCGTTGGCCAAAGATTAGAGAAATAAAATTGTGGACTGTAATAGTGCAGGGCCATGAGTACTGAGCAGGAGAACATAAAATCAGTTGAAATGAACACTTTACATTTACAGTGATATCCTCTTGGTGTTTTTTTTTTTTTTTTTTTGCAACATTCAGTAGGCCCATCTAAAATTATAATATCTAAACGAAATGACTGCATGGGTTATTTTTTTTTAAAATTACATTCTAAATACATGTAAGCCTATTATTTCTAAACCACATTTGTTTAATTGCCATATACATTACATACATATACATACATAGACACTTTTTATTTTTACATTTTACAACCAGAACTATACCATTGCCTTGCCACAAGGTCAAATTCTGATAAGAAACTAACTGACCTTAAAGGAGAACTCCGGCGCAAAATGAACCTTTGGTCTAATAAAACATCGGCACCCAGTCAATCGTTCTCTGAGATTTGTTTTCATGATAATCGAATTTAAAGAGTTTTATCTCTAAAAACTGTTTAGCGTATAACGCTACTGGGGACATTTACTAAGGAAAAAGAAATCGCTAGTTTATACCACTAACAAGGCTCAAAATAGCCCCACACTAACACAGTAACATAATAGCCGCTTTCCGACCGGAGGGACTTTTGCAGTTCCTAGAACCTAACGTTCCTATAACCTTTTTTTCTCGTGTTCCGACAGGACTAAATTGGGGATTTTTTAGTTCCTCAGACCGTAGTTCCTACAACTCTTTCAGTACCTAGTCTAGAGCGAGGACTTTTTAGTTCCCTTTCCCTAGGTCTAAGTTGATTGGTTCAACTTATAAGTCATGCCCACTGTCAACACGGAACTTGTAGCGCGCTGTCTGCCATACGCTGTGTTTTTGCAAAACATTACAACGAGGATTAAGACAAACATAACGCATTCAACCAGCTAATTGCTAATGCTAGCTAAACTTACCCGTTGTTTTGTTTGCCTCCTGCTCTCTGCTCTTTTATCTTCTTCCATCATATTACTTAATATCATATTACGCTGGAGCCTTCATCTCCTGTGTTTCTCTGTACAGAACTCAAGCATAATCTTTAAACGCCGCCGTTCGTAGAACAGGAACATTGCAATAGCCTCCTCCATGCTGGTTTGTCGTTGTTGTATGTGGCCCCGCTACGTCCAGTGATGACGCTATAAAGACCGTCGCCGTGCTTCCGAGTTTGGGGGAGAGTAGTTCTTAGAACTGTTTAGAAGTGGATAGTTCCCATAACTAAGTTCCTGTAACTACTTGGTCGGAAAGCGGCTAATGAGGGTCCCTAAAACGAAGCATTGAGAACTTTGTAAGTGTACAGACCGCTTAATAAGAATATACTTTATAAAGACAGTTCACTTCGTGTATACAGACAGGAGCATTCTTAGAAAATAGTTCACTCAGCACGACGTTCGTGGTTTGACTTGTCGTGACTGTTTTCCAAGATGGCTCCTGTCTGTATACACGAAGTGAACTGTCTTT